GATCGTGGTCTTCGAGCTGGGCGGCAACCGCCAAGAGCCTGGCATTCCCCCGCGGGCCGTACACGGCCGCGGGAGGCACCGGCGGTCGGCACGCCTCGCCGAGCGGCCACCCCCCCTCTCCCCCCGGCCCGTAGGCCAGTGTCTCCACCTCGGGGGGATGCCGGGCCGGCTGCCCAGCGACCTACCAATGCGCTCCCGCCCGGCCCCTCTCCCCCGGCACACGCGCGTGTGCACACCGGCCAGCAGGCGTGTATATGTGTGGATTGGTGTATTTTGTTTGTCTCCCTTTCGGAGCACAGCGGCCAGCAGCGCCAGGACGCCCGGCTACTTCTCGATCTTGACGAAGTCCTTGTCCTCGTCCCAGGCGTACTGCGGCTCGCAGTCGATCTTGGAGAAGGCCTTGTGGCCGGCGGTGTCCTGCGGGCAGAAGACCTCGAAGGAGTAGGTGTTGTGGAGGAGCTGGCAAACCGAGTGCGGGGAGGAGTAGCGGTCCATGGTGCACTCGTGGATGGCCACAAGGGTGTCGATGCACTTCTTCTTGTTGCACAGCGAGTCGAGGGTCACCCCGGCGAAGCCGCCCTGGATGCAGTGCTTGCGGAAGCGGGCGTCCAGCTTGTCGAGGGCCATGTTGTCGCAGCCCTTCTTGGGGAAGCTCTTGTTCTTGGACTCGGTCTGGTAGCGAGTGGGGCACTTGTAGTTGGAGAGGTCGGCCTTGGCGGCCTGGGAGTCGGGCTCGTGCTTGCGGCACCAGTCGCGGTGCTTGGTGACCATGGTGGAGCAGTCCTCGAAGGCGGTGGTCAGATCCTTGATGGTCTTGCCGTCGAATTTGTTGGCCTTCTCGACCGTGCACTTGCCGTAGCTGGCGGCCGAGTTGAGGGCGCTGCGGTCGCAGCGCCGGCTGCCGGAAATTTGCTGGGCGAAGTCCTGCAGCGGCCGGATGCAGGGGTGGGAGGCCGAGTCGACCAGGGCGCTGAGCTCCTCCTCGGCGAGGAGGAGCTGGTCCATCGGGGCGGCGGTGGCGGCGACGGAGAGGATGGCCAGGATGGCCAGGAGGAGGGCTGCCTTGAGCATTGTGTGTTGGATGGCTTTGGGGAGGGAGGGGCGAGGGGGGGG